CCCTACACGTTTGAGGGTTTCTGATGACCTACTTAGGTTCTGGCCATACTCACAACCATCATCATCACCACCACCACCATCACCTTTCATCTTCAACTTCATCATCATATTCATAAGTGACCATTTATTAAGCATTTACTATGTGCCAGAACCTGTGACAGGCACTTTACATGCATTACTTCATTTAGTCCTCCAACAACCCTAAGATAAGTTTTATCTACAGAATAGATAAAATGAGGATAGAGAGGTGCAGATACGTTAATTAGCTTGTCAAGGTCACACAGCAAATACGTGACAGAGCAGGGATTCAAATTCGGGATTGTCTGATTCCCAAGTTGGAGCTTTTTGCCAAGATGTGCTTTTATTTTATTCTTTTAGAAAACATTCTGTTAAAAATTATTTTAGGGCTTCCCTGGTGGCGCAGCTGCTGAGAGTCCGCCTGCCGATGCAGGGGACACGGGTTTGTGCCCTGGTCCGGGAAGATCCCACATGCCGCGGAGCGGCTGGGCCCGTGAGCCACGGCCGCTGAGCCTGCGCGTCCGGAGCCTGTGCTCCGCAACGGGAGAGGCCACAACAGTGAGAGGCCCGTGTACCGGAAAAAAAAAAATTATTTTAAGAAAAGTAATATGTGCTCACTGTATAAAATTCAAATGCTTCTGAAGTGAAAATTTCCTCTCTTGCTTCCCCTATTCTACTTTCCGGAGATAACTACTGTTACAAGTTTGGTGTGACAAGTATAAAGTATGTGACAAATATATTTATTTGCATGAATGTGTATAAACATCTCTGGAAGGAAATCGTTGACACTGGTTTTCCATGTGGAGGGGAACTGGGGATCAGAGAGGAGTGGGAGCAAAATTTTTCACTATGTATTCTTTCACACTTTTTGAATTTTAAACCACATAAATTTTAAACCTCTTCAAAAAGGTTAAAGGAAAGGTCTGTATGTTGCTTTTTTACACACCCACACATATGTGCATACGTGCTTTTTTAAAAAATTAAAATGAACTATTCCTATATATTATCTTGCAACCTGATTTTTTCACTTAAAATATATCTTGGAAATCTTTTCACGTCAATAGATAGTAAACTCATTCTTTTTAAGTTACACAGCATTCTATTCCATAGATGTAGCATAATTTATTTATCCAACCTTTATTGATGAACGTTTCCAATTGCTTACTATTACAATGATACAGTGACTACTAAATATTTCTCTTTACACACCTGTGCAAATATTTCTGCAAAATAAGTTCCTAAAAACTGAATTGCAAAAGGTATATAAAAAAACTAATGCTCTTAACCAGTATGCTGTACTACCTCCTATTCCCACCAACAGTTCTGATCCACTGACTTGCTGAAATTTCTAGAACTTATATAAGATTTTTCTCAGGATTGCCAATTAGTTCAAGACCTCTCCCCCTTCCCACCCCCAACACTACCATGGTTCTCTGTACTAAGGAATGTTATCTGATAATATCTGGTTATTTCCCCAAGCATAGTCCCTCCCTCACCCATGTCCCAGCCCCAGGTCCCAATTCCATGCTTTTTCTTAGTGGCATATTGCCACCAACAATCCCAGCATCTCTGCTTCTTCTCCCCACCTCACCTGCCATTAGACATCAACAGGGCCAGCGGGCCTTCATTCCCATCAAGGTCCAAGTCTGGCGAGTCATCATCTGAGTCATTCAAGCAGGTACCAGTGATGTTGAACTGTAGGAGGAGGAGGCTCAGTTGTCACCTGTCTGGAACTCCCATGTGAATCAGAATGACCAGTTCCCTCTGGTTTCACTGGTTGAGTTCACTGTCAAAACCACCTGAACCAAGGCCTTCTGCTATGCTGTCCCCCCACCCCCAACCCAAATGATCACAGGAGCAGAAGGCTGAGAATGTATGGCTGGCTCAGGGGAAACCTATCAATCTTGCAAAACATGTTCCCTAAAAAGAGGTGGAGTATCTTCACATGCCTATGGAGGGCACCACAATCTTGAAGCAAGGTGGAGCCCTGGAGGTGGGCTTTTCTCAAGAACCTGTTCAAGACTCCAACCTGCCACTCGTATACCATGCTCTCAAATGTCATTCCCATCCCAGCATTTCAAGATTCATCTTAAGTGTCATGTCTACTGAGAAGAGCTCCTGACCATCGCCCCTACCCAGATAGAATCATCCCCTCCCGTGTCTCAGGGTCCCACACATACCCTTGATCGTGGCATCCACAACACTTCATTGCACTCATTTCTTTTTATGCCTATCTTTCTCACTAGCCTGTCAGCCTCTTGAGGGTTATGTCCACAGCACCTATCACAGTGCCCAGCATAGACAAGATCTCAATAAATGCCTGTTAAATGAGTGGGACTGGTAGCCAAACACCAGGGGCCCTAAGGGAGGTGGGAGGACAGGAGAGCCTATCCTTTTTATACCCTGCTCTTCCAAGGGACCCAAAAGGGTTGGGCTGAACCCAAGGGCCAGCACCCACCTTTGCTTTCTGGGAACAGCCTGTCTTCAGTGCCTGATGACTGTATGTGTCCATGAGATTATAGCTCAATTGGCCAGCAGGCCCCAAGGCTGAGCTCTCCTTGCCCTTTCGCTCTGCCTTCTTGAAGAATTCCTTGGGCTTCAGGCCTTTCTTCTTTGAACCACTTTTGGAGGGCAGTGACAGCCTGGACATGGATACTGAAGTGGAATGGGCTGGCCTGGTTAAGGGAATGGAGCCGGCTGGGAAGATCCTCTGCAGCCCAAAGATATTGCTTGTCTTCCCAACGTTCTGTTGGAAGATATCCTACAAGAGTATTAGTACATGAGGGGGTTAGAGCTTACTCAAGGGTTCACTCTGCACTAAGAGCAGAGGTCTGTTCATGGCACTGGTGGTACTGCCATGAAGGGGCTTAAAGATGCTCCACATATGCACTTATGCACACCCTAGTTTTGGCACAATAAGTCATCAAGAATTTACTGGGTGGCATTTCTTTACCTAGCCATTGACGAGTAAGGAGAAGACGAGCAGAGGAAAAGCTCAGCACTACTGTCAAAACCGGAGAGGAAAAGACTCCAAGCGCAGCTGACATGAGACAGAAAATAATTGAGTATTAAAATGTGTGGTTCCAACTCTAAGGACCACAGGATTTGAGAGCAGGAGAGAGGTTCTAGTCCTAATTCTGCTACTAGCCTCCCACCTTCATCTTATTCATAGCAGTTATGCTTTGATTGGTTGTATATATTGAGCTTCCACATTAAGATTTCATTTGAAAAAAAGGATTTCATTGCTTCAAAACATTTGAAAGCCAATGAAAAAGATATGATCCATCTCTTAAGTCCTCTTCCAACCAGCCCAAAGTTCTGTGTATATAAAACTGGTTTAAGTGGGAAGAGCCAGAGAAAAGGTAGGCCTAAAACCCTGAAGGATTCTGACAGATGGAAGTGGTGGAAAATGAGGTAGGAGGTGGACAGTGTAAGCTATGGTATAGGCAGTGAAACATGCTGCAAGAGGTGAGGCTAGAACCCCAACTTCCCAGTAGCTCACTCTGACCACCCTTCAGCACAGATTTAGTGCCTATATTCTGGGCACTAAATGGAACCTTACAGCTTCTGAGCTAAAGGAAAGTTGAAACTTCCTCAAGTCCAATTCTCCTCTGGTGCCTTTGCTACTTCACCAGCCCACACTGAGTTCTCTCTTTGCTGCAGTCTATTAATAACAATGGCTCACATTTATTGAGTACTTACTCTGCCAGGCACTGTGCGAGGGGCTCTATATACATTAGCTCTTAATCATAACAAAACTCTGAAAAGGTGGTGTTATCCCCACTTTACAGATAAGGATACTGAGGCTCTGAAGGCTTGCAAATGACAGAGCAGGAACCAGAACCCAAGTTTCTCTGAGTCTCTTACCACTGCACCTTACTGTCTCGTGGTATATGCCACCTGTTGAAACATGGCTTTGTAATCATCTTCAACCCAGGAGAACTGTCATTTTGTAGAATGTAGAGACTGAGTCAAAATATTAATAACAACAACTACTACTACTACTATGACCTCTGCTACCCACGACCACCATGACCCACCAGCAGAATTTACTGAGCACCTACTGTGTGCCAAGCCCTATACTTAGTGCTCAACCTGTATTATCTTACTCAATCCTCTTAATAATCCCTCAGTAGTTATTAGTTATCCCCACTTTAGACATGAGGAAACTGAGGCTCAGACAGGTTAACTTTGCCCAGATTCCTCTACTAGATTGTGAGGTCTTTGTGGGCAGGCACTGTATTATTTATGTATCCTAAGCACCTAGACCAACATGTGGCACACTTGAGGCACATAATAATTATCTGAATGAATGAATAAATGAATAAATGAATAGGGTCCTTGGTGGGGTCTTCCCAATCCTTCCCCTGAGCTCTCATGCCAACTGCAAAAGCCTGACCTGCCACGAGCCTTGAGCCCTTCCCAAACGCCTCCCCTGCTCCCATGCTTCTTACTTCCACCAGGCGAATCTCCCTAGCCAGATCTTTAATGAGCTGTACGGTCCGCACTGTCTCCGGGATCTCATCCTCATGGTCTGGCAGAGCCTGTCAAACAAAAGGCATGAGGAATAGATCCACACATAAATGAAGTGATTTTCAACAAAGTTACCAAGGCAATTCAATGGAGAAAGGGTAGTCTCTTTAACAAATGGTACTAGACTGATCAGATATCCATATGCAAAAAAAGAACTTCATTCCACATCTTGCACCAGACACACACACAGACTCAAAATGGACCACAGACCTAAATGTCAAATCTAAAACTATAAACCTTTTAGAAAGAAACAGAGGAGAAAATCATTGGGACCTTGGGTTAGGCAAAGATTTCTTAGGACATAAAAAGTATGAACCATAAAAGAAAAAACTGATAAATTAGACTTATTAAAAAATAAAAACTTCTCTTAGAAAAACACTGTTAAGACAAACCACTGACTGGGAGGAAATATTTGCAAAACATATACCTGATAAAATAAAGGACAGTGTCAAGAGGTGTGAGGAACTTAGTTGTGCCTTGAACCACACCCCTCAGAAAATCAAGAACCTCAGCAAGATCCCTGGGGACAGCCTCTCCACTTGTGAGGACAGAACTCAATGTTGAGCAGCTACAAGCCCACAGCTAGCCCAACAGCAACCCAGGGAGAGACCTGTTGATTGTCTCTCTTTTAATTCATTTGCAATCTTATTTATCAATACATCTCTATGTAGACAGACAGCTCAAACTTTTCCTCTGTGACTTCTTCCACCAGTTTTGACTTGAATTCTGTATCCAGAGGACTGATAAAAATTCCTCAGCATTTCCTCCTTGCTTCCCATGGTTTGATTCCTTTAACTCTTTTAATCCATCTGGAATTTATTTTGGTGGCTGGGCAGTGATGGGGGCTGAGAACCCATGTGACCCAGCTGGATAACTTTGACAGCTCCCTCCTCCCAGCCCAGGGGCTCTGGAAGGGTGAAGGAGCAACTGCTTCTCTTTACAAAAGAGAAGTTGTCTGCACTTCACAAAAGACTTCTCCCATGAGTGTGGCTCCTCAGTTCTGTGTCCTACTCTCTTCCAGCTCCCTTTGGTCACACTGTTGGGGCCATCCTTTGGTCCCTGAGGCCATCCTGGCTCAGGACATGAGTGCTTAGGACCTACCCACCTCCCTCCCTTTTGGTGTTCCTGGGACAGAGTCACTCTGAAGTTCACTTCGTGGGAGGGTCAGGTGTGGATGCAGAGTCAGAGATGAAACCCAAGGTAGCCACACCTGAGGGATGTGGCAAAACAGAATCGAAGGCTAAGGCCCAGGTGCAGTTGAGTCCAGGGAGCAAAAGAAGGCCCAAAACATGAAGTCCAAGGATATCTGGGGAGAAGGCTGTCAACAGGAAATGGGGAGATTGTGCACATTTAAGCCTGCAGTGGCTGAAAAGTCTCCTCAGGCTACTGTATGCAGGGGAAGGAATCTACAAAGAGTATCAGAAGCATAAAAGAATATATTGATATTTCCTTTTTTTGCATTTCTTAAAACTGGTTTTTAAATAAATTCAACATTTTGAGTAGGTAATCCATTCACGTAGTTCAAAAATCAAACAATATAGAAAGATATATATTGAAAAGCCTCAGTATATATCTGACCCTGCCATCAGCTCACCTAGCCCACCCCAACAGGTAACCACTTTTATTAGTTTCTTCTGCATCCCTCCAGATTGTGTCTTCAGTCAAATACAAGCACATACAAATATAATTCTTCTTTTCCCCCCTTTTACACATAAGGTAGCACACTATACACACATTTCTACACTTTTACATGATAAATTCTGGAGATCTTTCCAAATCAGTACATAGAGAGCTTTCTTAATCTCTTTTATAGCTGTTTAGTATTCAATTGGATAGATGGATATTGGTATATTCCTAAAAAGCCATTTTGGCAGTATGCATCAAGAGTCTCACATTTTTGGACTCCCCTGGTAGTGCAGTATTTAAGAATCTGCCTGCCAGTTCAGGGGACAGAAAGAGGTTCGAGCCCTGGTCTGGGAAGATCCCACATGCCGCGGAGCAACTAAGCCCACGAGCCACAACTACTGAAGCCCGCGCACCGCAAC